AGCAGGTCCCAGTGCTCCTGCTGCAGTGCCATGACCTGGGTTTGAAGTGTCAGAAATTAATCTGGCATGTCTGGTAGCCCAAACAGGGAGTGACAGCACATGTGTAGAGTAAGGCTTTGCTACTTTAGGCCTGGCGAGACGGTCCCCTCTCACCCCATCCCAGAGAGCCCTCTTGTCACTGAGCAGGAGGACAGGAGTGATGCTTTCCCGACACAAGCTTTGCCACGTTGATACTGGACTCTGGGCTTCAGTTGGGCCAGGGGAGAGCGCACGGGTGAATGCAGACTTGCCTGTGGGCCGAGGAGACCAATAAACCCGTAGCCTGTCAGGTAACTGCACGTACCTTCCAAATGATATTCCACATGAATACAAACAGTTTTCCTTGTCTAACGTCTTTCTGCCTTGCGTGTGCCTGCCCCCTTAGTGCTCTAGGCTGTAGAGTGAGCAATGCTAATGGAGCAGTCTTACCTATTGCAATTCAAAGCAGCTTTGTCGTGCAGAATTCCTCATCTGGCGCAATGTAGGGTGAAGGGGAGCAGAGATTGCCCTTAAAGTATGACATCACAGTGTCTGGAAGGCAGCAGTGTATTGCTCTTTTTTCACGTACATTTTTCTTTGTTTGTTTCCTCTTAAATCTCGTTCTCCAGAAGGGTTTTCAGTGGATTCTGTCCTCTGAGCTTAAGGACAAAGTTTCATGTAAATGAAATGAAATTTTCCCAAGGAGAAGTTGCATTTATAGGTATTTTAAAGCTAGCTCTTCCTTGAAATGTCTGTCATTTTTCAGGGTAATGTCTAGTCTGGGGAATGCTTATTTCAGGGCACTGCTGACATCTGGGAGTTCTTTGTCAGACAAGGTATTGATGTTGCACAAAGGACGTACTTGACAGAGCGTTCCCAAGCTGTGACGGAGCCCAGGTCACTCACTTGGGATTGTCTGAGGTGGAAGCCACTGAATCCGTAGATGTCTCTGCTGGTGACTACTTTTGAGATGATTTTGCAGATGAATGATCTGGGTACTCAGAGCTGCTGGAGCTCCGAGGTGATTCCATAGGAAGATAGCACCATCTGCTGCAAGTGCTTCTTCTTGACATAGCCTTACAGCCTGGGAGTGGCTACTGGAGTTTGGCTTTTAACGCCTACCTAAACCAGCTTGTTTTGTCTTCTGCTCCAACATGTTAATTTAGAACAGGCAGGATTTGTTAAGTGGAACTCTTAACAGAAACTAAAGTCAGCGTACAGCAGTGTTGAATGACATTCAGCATACAGCAGTGATTGACATAATGACGTCTCTAACTGGTGCCCGTGAGGCATCATAAATTCTGGTTCCTTTGACTGATATATTCAATGCTCTGCCCTGTTATAATTACATATTAACCTTATTATATTAGCGATTATAAACCGAGCAGAGGTCGTGTCCTCATGTGTGCTTAGTACTAGTGTAATCAACAGCTGGTTTTGACTTGAGGAATTAAGAGTGGGATCAAATTCAAAGAAAATCTAGTTCTACGGGCATAAGTAGTAGCTAGAAATGGGATGGGTTTGGTGCCTCAGCTTTCGGCTCGTGGGAACTTCCCTATGTCCTCTGCCATCAGGTTGGATTGAGTGTGTAGACAAGGATGTCTTCCACAGACATTTTGGCCTTTTCACTGCTTCAGCCCTTTTTCGCTGAGCAAAGCATATGTTGTTTTTTCCACAATTCCGTGAAGCAATGCATCTGATACAGCAGGCAGGAGAGTTCTGCCTGTCTAGTGAGACTGGTGACTGCTTTTTTAATGTATCACTCAGCATATTAATGAGAAAAAAGTGTTTAGAGGAGGCTGCTCAGATTGTTGGGGTGGGGATGGGGTGGCACAGAGGGAGAGTACAGCCTTTTGCTGGACTTGCCCAAATGGCGTGGAGGAGGCTGGAAGCCCAGGATGTCACCTGGATCATAAAGTTGTGCAAGCCCCTGAAAGATCAGTACTGGAAACGTTATTTTCACTTGCTTTAGCAGGGAACTTCCCACGGCGTTTTGAGGACGTGAGCTGGGAGGCTGTTCGTCCCTAGTCCACAGCTTGGAATAAAATAAAGTAAAAGCAAGTGAAGTCTGTTGCAGAACTCTGTAAACTATATTTAATTCTGCATTCCCTCATCTTCCTTAATGTGCTGGGTTGTTTTCAACCTTTTGTGGGGCTGCAGAACATACCTTAGCTATGCTATATTTGACTTTTCCATACACGTGGATCTATATTTCTCTCACTCTGAAGGATGGACGTAACTGCAGTCCAGGCAGGAAATTTTAAAGCAAAAATTCAGTCTTGCCCCCAAGCATCTCCATTGCACTCTACAGGGTGTTGAAGGAGGCCCCGTGGGTTTTACAGAGTGGTGTCTACAGGCTGGCAGTCCAGCCTCTGTGTCTCTCAATGACATTTTAAAATGCCCACATTCTTATCTAAGTATTTATGTTTCTAGGGAGCACAGAAGACCAGGAGATGTACATTTTTAACTTGACATCACTCACAGAGTCCGAAAACGTCTTGTCAGCTTCAGTATATTATTATATTGGTGATCTGCTGCACGTCAGGTGGAACTGTTCCCAGTCCAGCAGTTGTTCTCATCACAAGCACAAGGCACCTGAAATTCAGATACATCTTTCGGTTTGGACCTTTCCTTCTGTTGGGAACCAGACTCGGAGCCTGGGACATTTCCTAATAAACGTCTCCACTGCTTACCAGGAGGTCCTCTCCTGGCAGTGGAAGGATATCACTCGACTTCTGCACAAAGCAAAGCAAACCAACGAACTCCTGATCAGTGTCAAACTGGCTCTGATGAGCCACCACCCCTGGGAAAGGGCACCTTCTTGCTATGAACCCTACATCCTGATTTACGCCAATGACTCTGCGATCTCAGAGCCAGAGAGAGTCGTCTCTAGTCACCGCCATCCTCTGGCAAGGGTCTTTCCTAGGCCAGGAAACCGCGTGAGGAGCAGCCTGGGGAAGCGGCGACGAAAACGCTCTGCAAACGTCCTATTGCCGTTGCAGAATAACGAGCTTCCCGGAGCTGAGTATCAGTACGGTGAGGACGAGAGATGGGAAGACAGAAAACCCTACAAAACCTTCCAGCCACAGTTAGCAGAAAGGGCCAAGAGTAAGAAAAAGCAGAGGAAGAATCATCACCAGAAGAGCCAGACTCTCCAGTTCGATGAGCAAACGCTGAAGAAGGCAAGGAGGAAGCAGTGGAACGAGCCACGGTATTGCTCCCGGCGCTATCTCAAGGTGGATTTTGCAGACATTGGCTGGAGCGAATGGATTATTTCCCCTAAATCCTTTGACGCCTATTACTGCTCAGGGGAATGCCAATTCCCAATTCCAAAGGTACAGTCTTTATTGATTCTTTTGAACTGTCTGGTACAATAACTGTGCATTTTGTTTCCTGCATCAGTGAAAGCAGCTGGTCCCCTGTTAGGTGTTTGGCTCTAGTACATAGGTGATATCTTTGTCTCCTGCTGCAAGGGCCGGTGGTTACGACAGCTAGTAGAAGGGCAGGCTTGCAAAGGTAATTAAAAAAATACAAAACGGTGTTAGTTTTTTGCCCACAACCCAAATTGCCATATAACATTTCCTGAGCAGTGCTTACGATGTGTGAACTTGTTATTAACCTGTTGAATAAACACAGTGCAAGCCAGATCTGGAAAACTGCTTATTTTAGGCAGCAGTTGTTGTGCCCCAAAGGAGCCTGCGCTGCCAGGCCCACGCCGCGGTCAGTCGGCACAGCACGCTCCAGGAGCAGCCTGTGCCTCGTGAGCGAGAGCCGAGTGCACTCAGAAGCAGTGAATCCTGACGTTCCAGACTACCCTCTGGTTTGTATGAATTTGTTGCCTGAGTGGCAGGAAAGGCTGATGTGCTCCTAGACCTGTGCCCCAGGTGGACGAACTCGGCTCCACATGTCCAGTGTGAAACATAGCAGCGTGGACCCCCAGTGTCCCGAAACTCGAGAGGATTTCAGGCTGGCCTAAAATGAGGGATATGGGCAAGTTGTGCCTGCAGGAAACATCAGTAAAGGCAGGGCTCTTGGGCTTACTGCAGCCCCGTGTTCCAGAGTCTTTCTTCCTGCCAGGATGAAGCCCAAGCAGTTAGCTCCAAAATACATGTGGGTTTTCAGTTGCTTAAGGACCCAGGGGAGAGTCACCCTTTGCAAGTGACAGGTGGAGGAATTGTACCAAAGGGGAAGGAGCCTGGAAAAAGCAGGAGCCTCTCCTTAAAGGAGGAGATGATGACTTGCCTGACTACCTCCAACTGCAATGGCAGGCTTTCAAGTTGGGGATCAAGGGAAGAAAATGAAAGTAAACAGGAAGAGAGAGTTATTACCCTGGAATACATTGCATCAGGCCTTTTACTTTGCTGCTGCGAACAGTGCTCGGTCAAACCAGTAATTCAGTGCGCAGGTGAGAAGTGTTAAGGGCGCTAGGCCTGGACATTTTCTATTCTAGCTTTAAAGACCTGTGAATTATAAAAAGGTCTGCTGTATCCCTCTGCTTAAGACTGGGGTAGCATTTCCAGTTGCAGTGTTAGTTATAAAACCTCGATTAAAGAATTACAGCAGCAAAGCATTGCAGCTGTTTTTGATGCCACGGAGGTGTGTACTGCAGAGATGTGGTTTGTTAGGAGAGCAGGTTGCTGATGCCCACTGTGATCCTGGTTCTCTGAGAGCCTTTGGTAGGTTTCTGCGCATGCTGAAATGCAAATTGCTCCTGCATAATGTTTGGTGCTACTAAGACGGTGTTAGCAAAAGGATACTCCAACCATCAGGCAATAGTAAACTAATCTCTGCCCTTGGGTGAGCTCCTAGCATTGAAAACCTAGTGGGTAGTTAAGAACAGACATGCCTCACACTCCTCGGCTCCGCGGTGCGGAGCATGCGGGCCAGGCAGACCCTGCCCCGCTCGGAGC